TCTTAGCATTGTCAGATTAAGCATACAAAGAAATAATTAATAGGAAAGCCAAATATGTATACTGTATTTTGAATAAGGTGAGTTATTTTTTACATTATATCATAGATCTTTAATGTATAAAGTTTTAGATGCCACTTAATTCATTGTGTCTAGCTATGCTGAGACAACACCCATTAAAGTACTGGATAAACTATTAGTGAGTGAACTAGCATTTTTAATGGGTATGAAATATGTGTTTATGATTATTTTCTCTTAAAATTTTTTCCCTTTTTATGCATAAATCCCAGAATCATACTTATTTATAGTATCAAAAAACAAATGGGAGATTAATCCATAGTTGCTCATTCTGTTCTTTCTCACTCTCATCACCTCTTAAACACACCAAAGATTTTAACATCTTTATCATGATGGTTAAAAACACTTTTTGATAGATTAGGATTAAGGGAAGTATTTCAGTGCTCTTCATCTGACATTGGGAACTTGTGTGTGTTGCCATATTTTTATTGGCAGAATGTAGTAGTACATGTTGTAGTACCCATGCACTTATATACAAGTACAAACGGCAAATGCTTGTATTCTCCTACAACGTCATTCACACAAAGGCAAAATTTACTCATCTTGTCAATCCTTCACAGTAAAAATCATAGTTTTGACTATGCAGTCCTGATAAAATGGCAATTATACTTGAATATAAGCATAGCATAAATTACTTTTCAAACTGTTTTATTGAGTACAATGTATATAAAAGAAATGCTTAATTCATTTGGTATGGTTATTTTCCTTTAAAGGTTTATTTGTTCTCTGGGTGCACAGAATGATTCCATGTAATGGAATAGAAGCTGAAAACAGATTAAAGGAGTAATTTCCATGTCAGTGTGCTCTTTACCTCCTCCCTTTGAAAATGGGCTGTTTATTCAGCCAACTCTGTTCTTAAATGACTACTCAAGCTTCCAGGCAGACTTTATTCCTAGTGGGACCTTAATTCCTAGTTTTTTGTCTTTATTATTACTGGCTTTTTTTCCTAATAGTGAAGAATTCCTACATGTAAGCACAATTTCAAGGAAACATAAAACTGGAAGTAGGGAAGGATACTTTACAAGTGGAAAAATTTCGATGGATTTATATGCCATTATAATTTTATGGAGAACATTATTGAATATGGGTTATTAATAACCTTTGACTTACTTTTCTTCTAATTCAATTAGCTGTTGTATCTTTGAGTTTATTTAATAAATGAATTATAAAGACCATACTATGAGATTATAGTGTAGAGATATTAGTTCTTCTATATGCCCAGGGCTTTCCCATAAGAAACACACTATCATAGTAGAAGGTCATATTCTGGAAGTGGAACTTTGTCTAAGGTAGGTCAGAATTTCCCTTTAGTTCTCAGGAAAGTTTTAAGTGGAAAGTGGAATTTGTTTACTTGATTATAAATAGAATGGGACTGACATGTATTAAATACCTAATATGGACCAGAAAGTCTAGTGTTCACATTATGACATTCTCATTTTCAGTATTCTTACTTAAAATAGAAAGGAGGTATATATGGTGCACATTTAACAAAGGAGGGAAAGGGACATTTATAAAGTAACCACCTTAGGGCTGGGGATTTAGCTCAGTGGCACTGCTCTGCCTCGCAATTGCAAGGTCCTGAGTTCGGTCCCTGGTACTGGAAAACAAACAAAAACTCTAAGGATAATAAAGTAACCACCTTGCCCCCAGTTGTTAAAGTTTGTTTTCATTCTGTCTGGGTTTCATATCTGGACCTTTTTTGTGATGCTGGTCTCACATGTGGTGGGAGCATGCCATTCATTCATGTGAGATCCTGAAATTTTGGGTCTAATGGCCTTCTGAAATTTCTGTATTGCCACCTGCCTTTCCTTGTTGAGCCAAAGGAGAGTAGGTAGAAGTTTGTTCATGGACTTTTGTTCAGAAAAAGGGATAGTATATTAGAAAGTAGGTATGCAATTACAAATTATGTCTAGGAAATCATCTACATTGAAGTTTTTTTGATTTAGAATATAGAACATTTGTACCTAAATACAAAGTAAAGTACTGTCCTCTACTATTGTTAGAGGTGTCTGTCTTTACATAGGGTTTTCTAATTCCTTATGGCCTATGTTAAAAAAAATCTCTGTGCAGAATGACATGTGTTCAGTGGAAATCTGTTTTTGTTTTTCAGTAGCAAGGTGTGTTGTGATGTACAAATTTAGAGGAGATACAGTCCGTATTACCTGTCACCTAGCAACAGGCATTCTGCTTTATATCTTTAGATTTCCTTCACTTTAAGTCAAAATAGCTGTGAAAACATAGCTCTTAGATTTGCATTTATCTCCAGAAATATTTAGAGTAGCCTTCAAATATTTTTAGTTCCCAAGATAATTTACTGTGACAGATAAAACAGAAATAACTTTAAATGAAACAAAAATCAGCTCACATGGTAGGAACCTTGAGACTCAGAGCAAGGAAAACTTGGCATTCTTATATAATATCCCAAACTTAGATGCACTAAGTATGCATCTCAGTTCCATCATCTTTTAAAGTTATGGTTATTGAACTGAGTATGTATATAAACCTTCATTACTTGATTTTTAAAATTTTTTTATCAGTACTGGAAAACACAATCACGACTAATGAAGTAGTGATTTGTAAACCTGAATCTAAAAGATGGTATTCCAAATGGGATTGCTGAATCAGCATCAGAATGCAATTTACTTGAAACAGAACAACTACGTTACCTTTGGGCAGAGAGTGGAATGCCTTGACTAGTCAGATGTCTATGAACACATCCAAAATGTGTTTCTGAGTCTCCATTTAAAGTGTCCATAAAGGGATTTTTCAGAGGCACCAGCAACAAAGCCTACTTTTGGTCTTGAGGTATTTAAATGTATGAAACACTAACCTTTAAAGATTGACAACCTAAGAGATCATTTGTTGAGGTAGTTGAGAGTGAACAACCTGATACTACAGAATACTGTCTCTACTATGGAAGTAGTTATTCCAGAGTAACTCCTTATTTGCTAACATGGATTGTATCCACTCCCATTATGGCCAAGGTCATTTCTGTTGCCCAGAGTGCACTCTCTTTGAATTATAAAGGAAGATGGATGATCATGTATAGAAACTTTTAAAAGATTCAAAAGAGAAAATGAAGTAAGGTCTTTAGGACATCATTCTCTGTTCCTGTAGCTGCTAAAGAGAAACAGGTGTAACTGGAATTTCTCCACCCTTTCCTAAAATACCAGTGTTAACCCGTGTTTCCAGGTAGCACTATTTTTTTTTTTAAAGCAAATTTAACATTTTTCCCAGGATGTAAGTTTACGCCTTTTCTTCTTTCTCACATTTTGACACTGAAATAACTGCCTAATTTTTTGCTGGCCTGCACCTAATGGCAATTGGAAATACTCTTTAAAGCAGGAAAATGAGTACAATATCCATGTGTAATGATTGTTTTGGTGGGGACACTGGCCTTTAAAATACTTGTGCTTTGGGGGAAGATTTACATATTTGATAGGAAAAAGCAAATTTAATTTAGAAATTGATGAGATACCGTTAGGGGAAATATGTAGTTTTCCTGTATCATAGTTTGGTTTTTATAAAGGTTTGGGGAAAAAACCCAAAAGCCCTTTAGTGTGAATGAAATTAGAGATTTTTTTGTACTATCATGTGCCCTCTTTTTAGGAAAATCTTTTTTTGTGTTCCCTATTAAATATCTCAGCCATGACTAAGGAGTGACAATTTGCTCCGTGTATGGCACTTATCATTTTACAGATTGTTAAGTTACTTAAGTTAGAATCAGAGGAGACAGAAGAATTATCCTTGATTCTGTGAAGAGAATTGGACTCAGTGATGTTGAATGAGCTGTTTAAGATTTCATAGGCAGTGCTTGTTAGAGGTTTGAGGAGGGACAGATCTTCTCAACTGTAAACTGTCTTTGTCTGCTTACCTTCATTTGTGCTCCTCAGAGGGTGGTGTTGGGGACTAAAGAGCAAGTGATGGATTCTGAACACTCTCTTAGCCTTTTGAATTGATGGATAGCAAAAACTAGTATTACGCCAGACCTTCTCTGACTTCAAAATGTATAGAAGTATACATTCAAATTATCAGTCATTACAAGACCAGTTGGTAAGATAAACCATGAAGAGCCATGCAGTAAAACTTGGAACTCAAATAGCAGTTTTAAAAAGATCCTGACACTACCTACCTTGTTATGTAGGGTATAAAATATACCTCTGATAACTTCTACCATTATGAAGTGGATCTTAAAGTAGTTCATGTGCTGAACTCACTGAACTACTTTCAGAACAAATGATAACAGGATATTTTTTGATTACTAAAATGCTCAAAAAATGTGGAATACTGTGTTATTTATTGTTCACATAATTTAATGTTTAAGTGTATAAACCTAAAAGTACAGATTATGTAAATAAAGCCTAAATCACTTAGGTAAAATGTATCTCCATCATTCATGTAGAAGGGAGTTTTCTTTATTTGGTTTTTCTTGTTTCTCGTTATTAGCTTCATTCCTTCATCCTAAACATTTGGTGGTCTCTTAAAATTTGCTACTGTAGGGCTTCTGCTATGTATTGGGATGCAGAGATGAGAATAGCCCTGTGTTGGTGGTCTTCCTTCTTCTAATAGGGCTATACAGTGTATTGGTACAGCTGAGAACAATGGAGTAGGATGGAGGTGACTCTGAGGATCAGTGGTGGTTGGAACCTGTGTAGTACTAGGCTTCCCTTCTCCTCCTGATTAGAGCTGTCTGTGTCTGTCCAGAGGAGGCATCTCTTCTGGTTGCACAGATATCACCCAGATTGGCAGAGGATTCATGTGGAAGAATATTTATCTTATTGATAGTAAAAATCATAAATTACTAGACGAAAATGAGGGCGTAATTAATGTTGTGTTGCTGCAATGCAATATTAAAATTTTGGACAGAGAATTAATCCTTTTAAAATGAAAATACTCATGGTACTTTTGTCCCTTTGTATCTACAGAGGGTTGGATCCAGGAATCCCCTGGATACCAAAGTCGAGAATGGTGAGTCTCCTATAGTATGTGAATTGTATTTATCTATAATTTACACACATCTCCTGGGCGCTTAAAACCATCTCTAAATTGCTTATACCATATAAATATTACACAAATAGGCATTATACTCTATTGTTTAGAGGGAAATGGCAAGAAAAAAGTCTGTACATGTTCATTTACAGATGGCACTTTTTTCTTTGAATTTTTTCAGATCCGTGTTTGGTTGAATTCATGGGTGTGGAGCCTGAGGATATGGAGGGCTAACTGCATATTAGCATGTGAAAAAATTCAGAGAATCACATTGTGAAGTGTAAAGGCAGAATATAAGATTGAAGCTGGTTTTGAAGTACTTTGTACATTGTTCTGAGGTATAGGATCTGATTGGATTAGATAGAATTTGAAGAGTAGAAAAGACAAGATGTGTTTGGTGAGAACACAAGAATTTTAGATGACTTTTAAGGATTTCAGAAGATGATTATATTATGGTTTCATATGTAAAACAATTATATTCTGAATTTTAAGAGAATAATTCTTTTCTGTTCTTTTAGTATGTAAATACTGCATTTTTGATTTTGTTAGTAGCATTTTTAGTAGCAGTAGTAAAAACTACAATACATATTAGGGGATATGTTTTGTAAGAGTGAGAAAAATATTAAAATTTAAATAAAATGAAAGGCCAATCCAGTGGATAATGTGATCTCGGCTGCATTTCGAGGGCTTCATGAGTGAGTTCTTGTTTTGTCCCTGTGCATGGATCTACATACACAGGAAGCCAGGCCCCTTGCTCCCTTGCAGAGGCATTGGGACAGAATGGGTGCTACTAAGAATGCCAAGGTGTGGCCCCATTTGAGTGTAATTCCAAACCCAAGAAAAAGAAATCAATCTGTGCCTAATAAACTGCCTCAACTGAATGCCAAAGAAAATTAGCCTCATGAAATGGAAATTCTGAAGCCAGTTACATAATGCTGAGCAACTAAATAGACTCTTAAGATACTGTATATCCAAATGGGGCAAATGGTTTATTGTAATCAGAATTTTCCAATCCAGTAATAGTAAATTATATTTGGTAAAATCTAAATAGTCCTGGAGATGTGGGAACTTTTATAAATCACATAAACATTTTAATTTCTATTTATTTAACTTTTAAGAAATAACATGGAAACTTTAATCATTTTTCAAAAATTGGAAAAGTTACTTTGGTATTAGCCAACATTGAGTCATGGAAATTTGTTTTAATTACTTTGAACATTTGTATCAGTTGTAAAGAGAAAAATGTTCATTTCCTCCTTAAAAGATCATTTCATTAAAATTTCTTAATTGCTAAGAATAATGAAATTGTGCTCCAATTTGAATATTTGTGAGTTCTCTTTCATACAAGAAATTCACACAGAAGCTGCATTCTGCCCTTTTTGCTCATCTTTCTCTGTTGCACCCCTCAGTCCCCTTTGATTCCCACTCATCTTTGTCATCTTGTTTTCAAGATATTGGCGTAGCTGCTGTTGCTTCCTCTGTTCCCTCATTTCTCCGTTTGTGCTTACATGGCACTAGGTAGCCAGGTGTGGTGTGTATGCTTATAATCCTAGCACTCCTTGGGGTGCTGAGGCAGGAGGATTGGCCTGAGTTTGAGGTCAGTCTCGGGTACATCGGGAGACTTGTGTCTCAACACACACAAAACAAAACCCAAAGACAGAGCAAATAAACAAAAGATACTCCTCAACCATTTTTTTTTAGCGGGTCGCTTCACTGCTCCTGAGCTTAAATATAGGATTGAGATGTGTTTTTTTTCTCTTTTTCCCATTAAAAGACTTATTATCAACTTGTAGAATTTACTCTCACTATTATCTTTTTCTGTGCCTTTCTTATAGGATCAATGTGACTCTCTTAACAAATGGATGTATGAGTATCCATATGAAGAGGAAAACGATAAAGGTTGGTCAAGCTTTGTAATTGCATTGAAAATACTACTATTTTGAACAGTACTTTTAGGCAATCCATTAGAACATTTCCTTGTCTGACTGAATATGAAATAGAGGTTAATCTTTGTTCCCATGATTTTTCTTTTTAAGCCCTTAAATATAAAGACATTTATAGGGAAGCTACCTATTTTTGTGCAAGTGTAGCTGTCATTCTTTTCCAGAACCTCAACTGGTATTTTAAGAATTAACTTTTAGATGAGTATTAAAAAATTGAATACCACTTGATAACAACTGATCACCAGGACCCCTCCAAACAGCCAGATTTTGTTAAGGTACATCGGTTCCCACAAGCATAATCTGGAACCACCACTGTATGATGCTGATTTCTGTCAAATGCGGTCTTCTTTGCCCCTGCAGTCAGCTTTCTGGGGAGAAGCAGGATCACCATGAAAGGCTTTACTGTGGCTTCTCACAAATGTGAAGTAGTGGAGGGGAAACCCTGTGGATTTTAGAGAAATCAAATTCTGGGCATTGCTTTATTTGTGGTAGTTATCTGAGTTTTTCTTGCACTTCATACTGGTTATAATGTAAAAATCATAGGTAACACTAAAGAAATTACAGTATATTAAACTATCTGTTAAATAGCTTAATACTGAACAGATCTGGTTCAAAGATAGATGCCTCGTAACTCTTCATATGTTACATAATACATACAATACCATGTTTCCCTTCTCCAGTTACTGTGGCTACTTTCAAATAAATGTATGGCATGCTATGTCATTTCCTGCCAGCCAGCTTTCACAGTTACTTACAAATGATTTTTCCAGGTTATGTCTTCCCCTTAAAAGTGCCTTCTTCCATCTTCACTGCTAAAATTTTTCCATTGTAGTATTTGTGTATGAAAAGTGTTCAAAGAGGGAGGATTGATTCAGAGCTGGCATAAGGGAAACTTGCAGGAGTATCTTAGTTACTTTTCTCATTGCTGAGACAAAATACCTAATACTCAAAGTTAAAAGAGGGAAGGTTTATTTGGCTCACAGTTCATAGAGGTTTCAGTCCATAGTTGGCTGGCTCCAAGGCAGGGTGGAATGCCAGAGGGGCATCACAAGGTAGGGAAGAAGCAAAGCAGCAAGCGACAAGCAACCCTCTCTATCCCTTATCTTATCCAGGCCATTAATCCTAGCATCCCACCATGAATCAATCCCAGGATCATATCCTTGATCCCAGCATCATAGACCCTAGATCCAGCCACCTCCCAAGAGTCCCACCTGTGACCACATGAGGCTTTTGGGGGGACACCTAGACACAAGCTATGACATGGGATATAGAAAGTCTTCTTTCTCACGACCTCAATATTGTCTGGGTGGTTTCATTTACTTTGTGAGAGCTACTTGTATTGTGTACTTTTTTTGTGTGGGGAACAGTAATGTAAATAAACTGGTTCTCTTGGGAAGGAGAATGGGGAAAGGCCTGATTTTTTGTTGTGCTTATCAATTCCTGTGGTGTAACTACTACTGTGGTTGGCTTCAGAAGTTTACCAACTGGCTTGAGAGAATCCTTAACATTTAACAAGTGGCATTTAAAACCTGAATATGAGCTAGCTCTAGCACATCTTTGATAATTCCACCCATACAGTAAAGTTAGAAATTATATACTCCTTAAGACTAGTGAGACAAAAGCAGTAAATTTAATTTTTTTGCTTTATATAAACATGAAAGTATTCTTCATTATCGTGTGAAATATCTTTAGCTTTCTCCTTATGTATGATGTTGATATAGTATTACTCTGTTTTCATTCAGTTGTCATTAAATTTTTATTGACTGGATTGGTGTTAGCTTTATAAATTTATAAATTTTGGCAATGTCCTTGCTCTGTTACTAATTTTAGAATGACAAGTGAAGATGATGACAGAATCATATTACTACTTACCCATAGAATATAGAGAATATAATGATTGACTACATTATATGTGATTCATTTTTTTTCTCTTTAAATAACTTTATCAAACACACACATACAAAAATTAACTAACTAAAATTAACTGATTAACTAAATTAGCTAACTGGGGTTTTTTTCCAGACCACTGTTTTTTTTTTCTGTTTTTTTTTTTTGTTAAATTCTTTTATTGGTACATTTTAGGTATACAACACAATTACATTTCTCATTGGGAATTGTACCTTTACATCATGCATCTTGGTATCCAGACCACTGTTTGTTCAATGTTTTTGGGGATCTTTCTGAAACAAATCACATCCTCTGCTGTCTTGTTGGTGCTTGAGATGCTTTTTTAAGTTATATGGAAAAATGTTTAAGTGCTTTTCAGTTTTGTTTTGGTTGAGTTCTACTGTATTTTAATATTATTCTAGTTTTTTTCCCTTGCATTGTTCTTTGAATGGTTTTAATTTTTGTATGTGATTAATTTTTAATGATCATGCCTCATAGTTGATTATTCATGGGTTCAAAAGTCCTTATGGGGGGAGGAACAGTGAGTACTTCATTTATTGTGTTTGTCACTTGACATTTTTTCTGGTTATCTTTTTCATATTTTTTCCATATTTTTAGTTATAGATCCTTTAAAACCAAAAGTATGTTGATGCTTATTTTTAAGTCTGTTTGAATCTGCTGCTGTTAGTTTTCACAGTCTGATTCAGAGAGAAAATTGTATAGTTTGAAATTTATGTTTTCTGCATTTTAACTACATTAACAAGCTCAGTATTAATGTGAAGTTTTAAAAATGTCATTTGTGGAAACACTTGCCACAGACCACTTAATTGAAAAAGGACTTGAATACGGCTCTTAAACAATTCTGAACCTTTCCAGCTTTCCAGTGATGATAAAATCATGCCAAGAGCCACAGAGTATCCTGTCGTGCCTTTTTACTTAGGTTCTCTAATGTAAATAGCTGACTTGGGATTTTATAAAATTTCTTTTGAGTGCAAGGCTCTTACTTCTAGGAGTGGTCTTCATCTGCCCTTTCATTAAAAAATGTGTTAGCATTGAGTTTGTTCCTTTACTAAATTTCATCCCACATGAATTTGCCTGTTTATCATATGCCAATAGGAAACATTCAGTGCATTCTGAAAAGATCCAGCCTTTCGTCATTTCCCACTCAAAAACATCAGCATAAAATCTGGCATATATACTCTTTAATTTATTTCAGCAGTTCTTACTGTCAGTGTGGTATCCTTTTGTGGACCTGGCTCTTTGCTTCCTTGATTTTCTAGCCATTTCATATGTTTACCCAGTGCTTCTCAGCAGTTGACTTAGAGCAGATGTTCAAAGCTTGCACATGCATTTACATTAGACCTACTTATCAGAGTTCACATAAAAACTTTTGCTCTGTGACTGCATTTGATGAACAGCTGCTTAAACCATTAGTGTTATTGTGGGGTGATTTTTCCTTTTCGTGTTTGGAAACCTAGAGGACAACAGCAAGCTCCTCTGTGAGTGCTTTCATTGTATACAAAAAAGGGTTTGTTTCAGAGTGATGGGTGTGTTCGTTGTGAGTACTTTAAATTTCTTTTCCATAAAGTTCTAGGGCTTTCTGGTCACACAGTTTATTTTATTTTATTTATTTTATTTTTGGAGGGAGGAGAGATTGGAGTTTGAACCAGAGCCTTTGTACTGATTCACACCCCCAGCCTCTCCTTTTATTTTTTATTTTGAGAAAGGGTCTTGCTAAGTTGTCCAGGCTAGGTTTGAACTTGGAATCTTCCTGTCTCAGCCTTCCAGAGTGCTGGGATTACATGAATGTGCCACTCTGCCTGGTTTAAATTTGATTTTAAACAGCACCTTTTAAGTTTTGCTATTAAAGATGGGATAATTAGTGACATTTCTAATTCTTTTTCTCCCAATCTTGTTTTACTATTCTTTAAAATGAAAGTTATTAACATTATTTTCTGATTCTTATCAAACCTGTTTGTCATAACTCAGAAGCATCAAAAAAATAGCATCACTGTCATCTAACATCAGTGTCACTGAAGGCTGAAGCAGACTGATCTTTCCTCTTCTTGTTTTGCTTTTTTGTCCAAGGATTGTTTTTACTAACCTAGAAGTTCAGTAAATTCATTGATTATGTGTTGGTTTTTATCATTCCACATCTTTTTATGTTGTTGAATCTTGCCTGTGACCTCTGAGAAGCAGAGTTAGTTTTAATGTCAAAAGCTTTCAAAATTATAGTCTGCTTTATGTTTTACTCTCTTCCTTACTGTGAAAATATATATAATGGTTTTCTTTGATTTTCTGACCTGTGGTTTTCATCTTTATTTCACTTAATGTTGTTTCCCATTCAACATTTTTTCTTACTATGTTTTCACTCATTTATATTTTTGTCTCTGAAGAGGCTTTTCATCTCTGTATTTCATAGCTTTGCCAGTTTATTTTCATGTCTTCTAGTTCTCTTTTATTCTTTAAAACTCTGTATTTCTTCACACTTTTACTTCTTTCAACTTGTTTTTTTTTTAAGTTTTCTTAGAGGTATTTGTCTAAATTCTTTTTTTTTGGTGCCGGGGATCGAACTAGGGACCTTGTTCTTACAAGGCAGGCGCTAGAACCACTGAGCTAAATCCCCAGCCCGATTTGTCTAAATTCTTAATCTGTTCACTTGGGTAATTCCTCCTGTGATGTTTGTTCTTCGCTGGCCTTTTGGTTACGTTCCTCTCTTGCTTTTGACATTTGCTGCTTTTACAGAGAGTGCCTCTGTGGCTTCTCCCTGATGGTTACCCATCTTTACAGTATTTGCAAGAGTACAGTGTGAGCAGGGGCACTAAGGCCTGGGGTGTAAGTTGCCTATGTCCAGATCTTTGGTTGGGGTTTGTTATTTCTATTACTTTGTAAATAAAGATGCCGTTTTCCAAGTCTCACTTACTTCTGGTGTGCAGCGAAGTCTCTTAAGACAAGGGCTCCTGTCTTCCTTCCTGCTCACATCTGTAGGCCTCCTTGATGAAGGAGGCCCTGTAACGTGCTGTGTCTGTGTTTGCTCTTTTATCACCAACTTCTTTGCTTTCTGAGCTA